CAAAAATTTAAAAATAGAACTATTCTATGATCCTGCAATCCCCACTTCTGGGTATTTATCTAAAGAACTGAAATCAGAATCTCAAAGAGATATTTGCACTCCTGTGTTCATTATGGCATTATTCATAATAGCCAAGATGTGGGAACAACCCAAATGTCTGTTGACAGGAGAATGGAAAGAAAATGTGGTATACACATACATCAGAATATTATTCAGCCTTAAAAAGAAGGAAATCCTGCCAATATACTACAACATGGATCAATCTTGAGGACATTATGCAAAGTGAAATAAGCCAGTCACAAAGATAAAAATGTCATAATTCCACTTATGTGAGTTATCTACAATAGTCAAACACATAGAAGCAGAGAAAATGGCAGTTGCCAGGGGCTGCAGGATGGAGAAATGGGGAGTTGCTGTTCAATGAGTGTAAAGTTGGTTATGCAAGATAAGTTCTAGAGATCTGCTATACAACACTGTGCCTGCTGTTAACAATACTATATTGTACGCTTAAAAATTTAAGAAGGTAAATCTCATGCTAAGATACAAAGTATTCTTACCACCAAAAAGAGAAAAAAAAAAAGCTCTCTGGCTTCCCACCTTGTGCAAAGAAAAAGCCAGTCTTCATCTTGGCCTTCAAGAGCCCCCCCTCGCCCCTGTGCCTCATCTCTGACCACTTCCGCCCTCCCTGCACCGAGCCACATTGGACCCCAGCCTGTGCCTTGGCTGTACAGGTTCAGCTCCCACTGCATGGGCTTTGCACTTCTGTCCCTTGTCCCTGGGGCGTCCTTCTTTTCTGGATCGCTCCATGATTCTATCCCTCACTTCTTTTAGGTCTCTGCTCAAATGCTATCTTCTCATCAACGCTTCCTTGATTATTTCCCTAATGCTGCGTGCACACTTACACCCACGTGCATGTGTGCGTGCGTGCGTGCGCACACACACACACACAACTACCTGTACTCCCTATTACTCTCCTCTGCTTTATTTTCAGCTACATAACTGGTCCCCTTCTGACATATTCTGTAGTTTGTCTATTGATGGGTCTGTGTTTGTTCTCTCCACTAGAACTCCAGACCAACAGGTGGTATTTGCCTGTTTCATTTATTAGTGCATCCCCAACTCTTGAAACAGAACTTGGCACACAGTAGATGCTCAATAAATGTTTGATTGATGAATCAATTGAAAATGAATGAAACTGGCATTCTGGTGCTTACTTTAGTCTTGTGAACCTTATTAGCATGAGAAAAATCATCTTATAATTCATCAACTACACGTGCACTAACAAAATAGTTTCTGTACCCCCAAACTGAGCAAGAACCAGCCATGAATCATAGGGACTCCACTGCTAGCCCAGTCTTGGACATCTTTCTCTGACTTCCATGGGAACAATATATGGTCTCTATTCCAAAGCAGCCGGTACCTCCTCCAGTCCTGCAAGAGTGCTAAGCTGCTAAACTGAAGCAGGAGGAACCAGGAGACCATTTGGATCCTCGTGTGCACAGAAAGTAGACTGGGCCTTTGGGAAGGAAGGCATCTGGAAGCAGAGACCAACGAGCAAGGAACTGTGTGAACACCACACTGTGGATGGAGACTGACAGCTTTGCCATTCAGAGAAAATGACTCAGAAACCAGTCAGGACAATATCTGCTTGGGCTAGTGTTTCCAGTTAATTTCTTCTTTTCTAATGGTAACTCACCTGCAGAAACCTGGCAAACACTTCCGATGAAGGCTAACTTCCCCAGGGATGCCATGTGGCTATCATGTAGCCCCTGATACGATGTGACAAGAAGAGTTCTTCACCTCTGTGGCATTCTTTCCAAAGCCTAATCCCGATCTGAGCATGAGAAAAACACCAGACAAACCCAGACTGTGGATATTCTGCAGAAAACCTGGCCAGGGCTCTGTCAGGGTCATGAAAAGCAAGGCCAGACTGAGAAACTCACAGACCGGAGGTGACTGAATGAAGGTGGTGTCTTGGATGGGCTGCTGGAACAGAAAGAGATCGCTCATGGGAAGACTGGTCCATGAATTATATACTTGCTAAACTCACTAAAGCAAGCCCCCCAGGACGATGAACTGAAAAGCAGAAGCTGCTCATTCTTAAGCCTTACAGTGCATCTCTGAGAGACCTCTGTGTGCGGCTGTGCTCACCTACCTGTCCTCCTTTGGGTCCCTGTCGGACCAGTTCCTGGCTCTGTCCCGTTTCCAGGGCTGCATCCTGCCTTCCTTCCAGACCACAAACACGCTCTCTGCTGCTCTCAAGATGGAACATTGTCATTTTTTCAGCCCGCGGCTGTGAATGAACACACTGGGCTCTCTCATCACTGTCATGGCCAATCCCTTGTGTTGACCCTTCCTCGTTCTGCACTGTGACAGCTATAGGCAGAGGCCGAGTGCACCTCTGCTGCATGTCACAACGGCACAGGCGGGAAAACAGAATTCAGACACATATGAATGTGCCCCCGGACTGCCCCGACTTCTGTCTTCCACGCTCACGACACCACAAGGGACACCAGGGTGCTCCTGCCTTGCTGCTCCTCGTACTGGCCTGCAGCTTTGGGCCGAATGGCTCCCTTGGCCACATTTTCTGGAATTCCCATGGCTTACTGGTGCTGTGAAACCAACAGGCCATGTATGACATCCACCAACACCCCACATCCCCCAGTGAAGTCATCTTCTTATCAGGGACTCCAAACCTGGGTCCAGAGACTCTGGCGGCCTCCATGGGCCCATGAAGAGAAGGACTGAGACAGGCCGTGAGAACAGTGTGGCAATTCTGGGAAGACAGGAGGGCGGGTGGGGTATGTTGAAAGGAAAGGAGCGGGAGCCAGAAGGTGGAGGGAAAAGCGGGGGCTTGACTCGCTCAGTTCACAACCCTTTCAGCAGGTCACAGAGTGACGGGTTGAGTCATCAAAGTTTAAGGAGCATCTAAAACTCAATCAGTTTTCAAGGCTGAAAACGTCCTTCACGTCTTGCTACATTCTCTTTTTTAGTGAAGTTTAATACGTGAGACATTCAGATTTCCTGCCCTTTCTTCCTAATTTCCTTATTTTATAAAATGGCATCGATATCTGCGTAGGTGCCAGAGCTGCCAACTTAGAAAGCTCTGGTGTTCCCCTTCTCAGGTCAGTGACGGCTGTCAGTTCTACCCCCAGGATACTTCCTGAGTTCACTGCCTTATCAGCCCCTACCTGGACCATAACAGCCTCCGCCTCCAGTTCAGCCCCTTCTGTTGTCAGAAGGGACTTTCCGATATCCCAAGAGGACAGGGCCACTCACAACCTGCAGACCATTTAGGCTCCCCAGTGCTTTAGGTGAGGTCTACACATTGGTATGAGCCCAGCGCTCTTCAGCACCTGTATCTGGCCCCAGCAGCCATCCACAGAGCTCTCTTTTCGGGTGCAGGGAACCACCCCCTCTTCCCGGGGCACCCAGCAGGCTTCTCCACTCTGCTCCCTCTGCCAGAAAGGCTTGCTGACTCTCACCTGTTACTCAAGACTCGGCTCAAAGGCTGTCTCCTGTGAGACCTTCTAGGGCACATCCAGGGGCGGTGAGTTATGATCTCCTGTATATATGATCCTCTGGGGCACTATCATATTTTATGCTAATAGTCTGTTGTCTTACAGTAAACTTCTGAAAGGCAGGGGCTACGTGCTTGATATCACAGCTGCTCAAAAGATGTTGTCATCTAAATGAGTGTGATGGATGAGTGTATGCGCACACGGAGCCGGACTTCCACACAGTTCCTCACTGGGGACACTGGTTCTCACAACACCATTGCCTTGAAAAGGCTTCTCCCCACTGGGTGAAGCTGGGAAGCTGGTCACCTGAAAGCGAAAGGCTGGAGTGTCCCTGGGCTGGGAGCTGTCAGAGAACCCTGTGGTGGCATCCTGTGACCTAAGCTATTGTGACATGCTGGCCTCACGGGGGGTGGGGTACCTGTACTATTATTTGCTAGAGTATTTGGGGAACTAACACTAGGACAAGACTCCATGTCAAAGAAGATAATGGGGTGTTGCGTTAAACAGGTGTATTTACTGTAGAATTTCGGAGCCTTTAATTTCCTGTAGACACGTGAGTGCCCAAGAGTGGGGCAGTGGGAGGAGTTTCCCAAACACATCTGGCCATAGAGCCCCAGGATACTCACTGTGGAATCCACTTTGGGAAACACTAGCGCAAAGTGGCGGATTTTTACTGAATGGCTGACAAAGGACCCAGAAGAAAGTTTTTGCTTATTCACTCATCATGGTCACTCTGAAATATGTCAATCATCAGAATCAAACACTGTCTTTCTCGGGGCACCTGGGTGGCTCAGTCGTTAAGCTGAGTCATTAAGCTGAGGCTTTGGCTCAGGTCATGATCCCAGGGTCCTGGGATCGAGCCCCGCATCGGGCTCCCTGCTCCGCGGGAAGCCTGCTTCTCCCTCTCCCACTCCCCCTGCTTTGTGTTCCTGCTCTCGCTATCTCTCCCTCTGTCAAATAAATAAATAAAATAGTAAAAACAAAACAAAACAAAACAAAACACTGTCTTTCTCAGACAGACCAGAAGAAAAAGGACGTCTTTATGCAATCAAAAATTTTTATTCAGAATAGGCATTAACAAAATGAAGGTAGACGCCTCATCAATGCAGGGCCACAGGGTACTCAGAAGCCAATTGGAAAATAATTACAAAACTACTTTGCTACAGATTAAAATAAACATGAAACTACAATCATTGGCTACAAAATGTAGCCACACAGAAATCACACTGAAAATAGAAGGTAAAAATCTTCAGACGATTTGCTCTCGTTTGCCCAGGTGGCAGGGAGTCGACAGCCCTGGGAACCCAAGGCCAGGGCGTGATCAGAAGACCCCACAGCCCCACGGCTGTGGCCTGCCAGAGGGAGGAGGTCTCGTTCCAAATCTTTGGGAAGACCATCTGGCTTCCCACTGTTTCAGAGCAGCTGGATTAAGTGCTTGTAATTCCACCAACAAGGACTCCCAATGAAGAAGGACAGTAACTACTGGGACTGCATCTGCCTTTTCAACTTGGCAAGTCTCAGAAGACACTCGTCCCTCCACTGCCTTCTGGCAGCTAAGTGCTCTGGATCATCAGGAACTTTCACACACATGGCCTGGGAATAGGAAACGAAATGAAATGAAAAGGAAATGAAAGAAAAAAACCAGAGCATGAAGAGGAACTCATTTACCAGGAGAGTAATTGTTCCTATTTATGCAAACTGTGAATTTGCTTTCGAAGACAAAAGCTTAGGAAACCCTCAAGTAACTAACTTTCCAAATCCACAGAGGCCTACAGCTCCTCTAAGACAATCAAGATGAGCTACCCGTTCACTGGTCACCTATGACCATGACAGGACTGTGGACAAAGTTAGGAACGAGGAACCACCAAAATCAAAGGCAAAGACTCTGGCTACAAATAAAGCCTCACCCGTGGCTCGGCCAGCACAATTCTCTACAAGGAGTCTACGTACCTGATTAACTTTTTCAACTGTGGCCCCAGAAAAGTCTGGAATGGGTCCAAAAGTCTTTAGGACACGTCGCATGCCTTCACTGTATTTGTCACAGTAGCTTAACATACCTGAAATCATATGAAAACAAGAATGCACAATATCAGCAAGAACACTATATGACCCCAAACTAAGAAATCTGTTCAGAGGGTCTCACCCTAGGTCAGATTACTACATTCCTTTCCTCCTGCAGATGAAGAAGAGGTGCAGGGGGGACGGCCACCTTGGTCAGCCGGCATTGGGGAGTGAGCATCCTCACCAACGTCACTACTCAAGCTTTCCATCAGATACTAAAATCCTAAAAAAACGATGGGACCCTAGGGCCTCTGTCAGTGCATCTCATGGACTCTCAGGTGGGCCTGTGTTCCTGCACTGATTGGATGAATATCACATGAAGTCCTGTTTTCATCACAAATGTCTCCTTCAACAATGTGTCTACAAGGTTACTTGTGTCAATGGCTTGAATGCATTTTCTAAGAACCAAAGATGTCAAAGCTCCATCAAATCTGTCTCCCATTTCACTCTTACTCCATGAGTTCTAGTTACCACTTTATTAGGTGTCTACCAGGCAGCAGGTTCCTTAACACAGGCTGTATTTCTCGCACAGGCAGGCTCCACGTGTAGACCTCAGCTTTGGCTAGCGGACAAGAGCCCCGTCACCCGCACCCCGGGGCGTCTGTCCCTGGCTGCGTGCACCCGCTCTGCAGTGCTTCTGTGGCTTCAGGGCCTCCGGGAAGCCAGTGTCTTGGATCCTGAGATAGGGCCCTGGCAGTCTGACGGAGAAACACCTGAAAAGGAGGCTTATCCTGGAGGGGGAAGGGAGGGAGAAGCAGTTGTGGGCTGCGTGAGGCTGAAGCTCCTATTTTGTTAGAATCAGAGACGTGCCCAGAGGAAACACCAGTCAGGCTGCACCGCCTCCCGAGTGGCCAGGCCTGCCCTGACCCGCTCTGCCCTGCAGACAGAGGAGCTCCTCTCGCGCTTGTGCCCCGCCCCCTGCCTCAGAAGGCAGCCGAGGCCGGGCCAGTGCAGGCGTGCACTTGGACATGAGTCTGCTCAGAAGCCGGGCCCAGGTACGTGGAGGAGGCGTCTCCAAGTCCTGGGCCCCACTGGGGACAGGGGCTGAGCTGCAAGCAGTTCTGCCTTTGGCCCATTTCCAACACTTTTCAAAGCCAGGAAGACTCAGCGGTTAGTCAGTTAGGCTAAAAAGATAACAAGGGAACAAATGAAACTGTAGAAATTGCAGAGATGCCGGAGCTTGGCTCTCACCTACCCCGCGAAAACTGTGTACGATTAACTTAAAATAAAAATGACCACCACTGGATATTCTTTTAAGCAAAAAACCAAAAAACAGCTTCTTTGGGGTTTAGTTTTGGTGGACCTACACTGATGTGAAAGCCTAAATTCACTCGGTGTCAATTTTATTTGGCTCAAATCGTTTATCTTTCTCTTTCAGTGTGCTAAAATCAAATCCAATTCCCTCTTAGAAGAGAAACCGTTTTGAAGGGTAAACATTTCAAACATACCAACCCTTCTGATGTTAGCACCTACAATGAAAGGGTGGATACTCTCTTTTTAAAATAAGGAGTTCGGGGCACCTGGGTGGCTCAGTAGGTTAAGCAGCTGCCTTCGGCTCAGGTCATGATCCCAGGGTCCTGGGATCGAGCCCTGCACCGGGCTCCCTGCCTGGCGGGAAGCCTGCTTCTCCCTCTCCCACTCCCCCTACTTGTGGTCCCTCTCTTGCTGTGTCTCTCTCTCTGTCAAATAAATAAATAAAGTCTTTTAAAAAAAAATAAATAAAATAAAAATAAAATGAGTTTCAAAAATTAAATAAATAAAAAATAAGGAACTTGGTTTCATTTAACGTAAGTGTAACTTGACAATTCAGAATTTGGGAAGGCTCCCTAACTGTTCCAGCCCTGGCCAGTTATCCTGAATGGCTTTGCATTTCTGGAACCCAGAAAACAACCTGTATATTTATTTCCTTTTGGAAATTAAACATTTACATCAGTCTATCCATTTGTTTATTTATTCGAACTAAAGGTAATAAAATCTAGACACAAATACAGTTTATTCCCTTTGGGGGAGCAGAGACACAAGAATCGCGTAAGCTGTAAAGCTATTACATGAGAGGAAAACAGGGAAGACTCAGGGTAGCTGTGGATTCCTCTCTTGCACTGAAAACGGAAGCTCCACGGCTCCACAGATGCCCTGGCAGGAACCGACTCCACCTGCAGCTACGTGCGCAGCAAGAAACCACAGGATTCAATTCCTGTGCCACATGTCACTTTCGGATTACTTTACATCTTCTGAATGAGTGGTCACCTTTCACTGTCCCTGTGAAGTCCATTTTTATCTCCCAAGGGCTTTCGAGAACTTTTTTCCCTACTGCCTTTTATAAAATTTGTAGTTTTAAAGAGCATTTATTCCTTCAAAATGGAATACAATATGGTAAAAATCCTAAAATACATTTCATAACTTCTCCCGTCTTGCTCAGGAAATGAATTATAATTTCATTTTTATTAATATAAAAACACTTTCTATCACATGCACTCAGGCTCTTGGGATAAATAGCCTTGTTTGTGGTGCAGCTAAGGAACAAAGAGAGCAGGTGGGTGCAGACCCTCCCACTTCATCTGTAGAGAAGCCGGACACCCTTAGGAGGGCTCTCCTACTTGCCCAAAATACAAGTTCATGGTGACTTATAGTCAAGATCTACACTGTGCCTTAATATTTACAATGTTCCGGGACATTTATCACTGTTATTTGTAACATTTTTTCTTCCCTTAGAGAAATATTAAAAGGAGGATTTTCATCTCCAACAATAATTTTGGCTTCTCTACACTATGAACGGAGAATTGAGTGGCAATCATTCCACAATACCAATTTCACTGGAAGTGTCAAAGAGAAAAAAAACACTTCACCTTTTATCTGGCTGCTAATGTGTCCTTCCTGTATATTACTATGAAATTTGGCCTTCCCCTAGATTCTTTCTTCTACACTTCCTTGTCCCTTGTTCCCCCGTACAACAATATACTTCCCAAAAGTCTCTAGAGCTTAGCTTTTTAGAAGACTTCGAACCTGATTTCTTAAGAGATGCTTATATGGAATAAGAAAAAATGGAGGAAGAACTGATTCTCATGAGATTAGACTTAGCTTATCTTGCTGCTTTCTAACTTGGAATTCTTTAGTTGTGAGCCCCCAAAGGCAAGACAGTGTGCTTTCCTGACCCTTCGGCACAACCATGGTGGGCGGATAGGCAGAGAGCCTTCCTCGGTTTGCGTTTACGGAGCAGGCACGCAGCCCCACTGGACCGTGGAAGCGGCCACCGTGACAGGCTCTGGGAGTTCAGTTTCTTGGACAGCCCTAACTGCTACCCACACTAGAGGAGTCTGGTTTTCTCGTAGCATATAAAACCACACCTACATGAATTCACCTGCTTTCAAGAGACAGAGTTTCACAGAACTTTTTAAGGAAGATCAAATAGGCCCCAAAGCACAGAGCAACATTATCTAATTCCCACCTGAGTGAGTGAGACCTCACCTGAGGTCAGGGAGGCGAGGCGGGTGGAGACAGAAACCTCCCCGGGGCCCCTTAACTCCTGAAAGTCCCAGTGTTAGCAGCTCACCCGTTTCACTGAAAATAACAGCCAAACCCACCACATAGGCATGTCGATTAGTTAGAAAAAAAAGAGAGAGAGAGAGAGAAAGCATCTACACACAGGAGGAAATTTTATGAGGCAGGATGGTAAACATTCGCTTCGACTGGAGGCGATTTCCAGAGGCTGCCGATTCCAGACAGTCTTCCCCAGGCAGAAGTAAACCCAGGAGGCGCCCAGAATGCTGCCAGGTGTAACACGGTGGCAGTTCTCTTTGCTGAACTAATGGTCTAAGAGCTTAGCAAAGAAACAAACCAAACGGTTAAAGTCTGGAGATTTCACCATTCTATTGCAAAAATGTCCTACTGTGTATTCATTCTCTATTTCTTTTTGGGAGAGTTAAAAAACTATAAGAGTAGTGAATAAAAAACGAGACCGAACTCTGTATGAATATAACACCAATTAAGGGACTTCATCTGTGTCAGCCATCCAGCCAAGCATTTCCACCTGCCTTCATTCTCACACCACCCTGTGAGGTGGGCACTGTGGCCATCTTCATTTTACAGGTGGGGGAACCCACCTGCACAAAGCTAGTTAGCTTGGCAGGCAGGGAAGCACCCAGGCTGACCGGCTCTACTGACCAGATCCCCCATTCTGAGAGCCTGTCCTTCATGGGGGTTGCCTTTAAAAAGCAGCCAAAAGGCAAAGTCGGATTGCTGGCCTCCAGCTTTTCAGGTGCCATTTTATTGGATTAAAAACAGATGCTAAAATATTTTTACCACTTCTAGATAAACTGTAGCTTTAAGACTAATAACTAGCCTTAACCTGAGATGCTGGCTTTATGAAAACAACATTAGAAAAAAAGAACTCTCCCTCTCCCCCCAATCTTGATATATTCTGGATGACACTGTGAGGAAAAATGAACATTTCCATTGGTTCCAAGCCAGATCTTATAACAGTCTAACTCTGGTCTTTGGAATGCTCTGAAGTTGAAAACTACATCCGTCCACCATTATCATATTAAGCCAATTAGGGTTTTCTTATCATATCTGCTTTGTCTGAAAAATTGTTATAGGCCTCCTTCCTGTCTGCCACACTATTTGGTTCTTGAGTTTCTGGTTTCATTGGCTTCTCTTTCTATTTGTTTGAGAGTCAAAGCTGCTCTCAGTTGTCTCCCTATTGATGTCTCGTGATACCTGAACTATCTTATTTTTCTGAAGAAAAAAAAATTTAAAAAAGAGAAAAACATGGTGGTTACCGAACAGTGTCTATATACATTCAAATGTTTAAATATGTTTGCCACTTTTAAGGTTCTGGCTGAAAAAGCATTTGAAATTCTCCAAGACTTTATTTTATGATACTTCAAAACTTTTGTTTCACTTTTAGGAGGGCCTCTTTCTTTACATTATCTTCCTGTGTTCGACTGTTATCCCACCACAAAAGTAATATGCTCGTGCTAGGAGAGAGTCCCCTGTTCCTCCAGTACCTCTCGGTCATGCTCAGTTATGAGGAAGAATCAAGTCAGTTACTGAACCACATTTGCATGACACACAAGACCAGTCCACTCAAGCCACCCACATATATGTGTCCCGACAAGACTATGACTGGTAAAACTGCCTTGACTTATTCATTGGAAATTATATTTCACTAACTACGGTGGCAAAAACTGAACTATTCAAAAACATGGTGGAATTATAAAATCTAAGTCAAACAGACTCCCACAGGTCACTTATCCCAAGTTCCCACTTCATTACAAGTGTCTCTGCCCGATATCAAAACATCCTAACATGTGGGCAACCGGCCCCCCGCTGCCCCATTCACCCACTCATAGCATGGCCCTCTCCCTCAACGTCAGCTTCAGTTACTAGAAACTTCCTGCCATGTACTGAGCCCAAGCCTGTCTGCCTGCCATGTCCACTCCTTCAATCTGGTTCCACCTCCACATAAGACACGGACAGAGAGACGCACGTGCGTGTGCTCACACACGCTTTTCTCTGGTCACCTTCTCCTGGATATGCTCGTTTCTCAACATTTTGGTTAAATGTGGACAATGGAGCTGAATACAATATTCCTTTTCTCTTTCCACAGATGTTTTACACGTTAATAACAATTATTAAAATAATATGGCAATAATTGTAGAAAACTATGACAACACAGAAAAGCAAAAAGGTAATAAAAGTTACTTATAATTTCAACACTAAGAGATAGCAAGTAGTCATGACATTTAGGTGACAGTTCCCTAGATTTTCATTCATACCTTTTAAAATTTATTTTGTTTCAGTTTGATGTAGGTTTTAGGGCTTGTTTTTCTAATGGTGTCTTGTTTTTGAATCACTTAAAATGCGGCTGACACTTTCATTCTCGCAGGTTTTCTCAGCCTTCTCAACTTGTCTTTCTGTTAGTCACTTGATCGTGGGCCTCGACCTACCTCCCCAGGCCCTGTGAAGTAGGCTTCTGGGGTAAATGACCTGCCTGCCCTGCACTGCTGCCCATGCCCTAAACTAGGCCAGTCACACGGAGAAACTGCTCCTATTTAGGCAGAAGATATGTACAGCAGAGGTGGTCACTTCCCTTATCTGTTTGTCTTACCTCTGTAAATAATGGCATCATCTTTCTCAGGAAAACACAACTTTGTCTTCTGTCAAGCTGGATGCCATGTGGCAAAGTCTCCATGACAACACCCTCATCTGTCTTTTCATTCCTGCCTGAGTGCTGTCTGCCGCACAGAGCCCTGAGGTTCCTGGATTCTGTGTGCACTGACATCTCAGGACACGGCCCTATCTGTGAGTTCCCAGGGCTGGCACTGTCTCCTTCATATGATACTGTTTCTATTCAGTTGTTTAAAAAAAAAAAAAAAAAAGCCCAAACTGTACTGTTGACAAAACCCGTAAGACCACGAAATAGCACAGAATTGCCATCTTTGCCCCTATGGAAGCAAAGCATACCTTCTGCATTGAGATGCATAGTTTCTAGGGGTCCGATGAACGCATACCGCATGCCCAGGCCATCTGACATGACAAGGTCAAGGTCACTCGGAGAAACTATTCCTTCCTGAATGGAGAAAATGGGGCAGTGCACAGATGAGTCCTCTGGAAAGACAATTTTCTTGCCTTCACTTTCAACCTAACTTCTTTAGAGTACGATCCCAAAATACTCTCCAAGGTGCTCTAATGGGATTTTCATCAGACTTTGCATGACAAAACTGTAACATATAGACAGATCCTGAAAAGAGGGTATTTTGTGAAATGGTCAAACACCAACTCACTTTTTCCATGGCTGTAATCAAGCTGCCGCCTTGCAGTGCCCACCTCCACTGTCTCCCCTCCTGTACAGCTGTGTGTCACTCACAGCTTTGGAGAAGGGGGAGAGGATGAAGGGAAGGGGAGAAGTAAGAGCAGGGTACTGGTGGAAAAGGGCAAGAAGGACGTTCTACATATTTGCCCGAGATCTGGGCGCTAAGACTAGAGTCATCAAAAGAACTAAGGAGGCGTTCTCCAGGCTTTGCCCGCCTGCAAGCCCGGCCTTGTCCAGCTCTTAATCAGTGTGTAAAAATGACATTCTTTGATGAAATGCAGCTTAGAACTGTGTGTTGTCGGCAAGGTGGGGCCCTGGAATGTTCTGTAAATGTGAATGGCAAGGCAAAAGGCAAGTTGTTATATGTTCGGGTTAGATGTCAAATTGGCCCTCTGTGTTACTCGGCCTGTTCTTCAGAGGGCCTCGACCTCGCGCCGCTTGGGAACGCGCAGGGACGCATTAGCACAAGTCTGCGTGATCCGGTGCTCCACTGCCAGTCCCTCCCGGCCTGAGGCCATTTTCACCTTGGGCATTTCAGCTGTCAGGAAGGCAGACGTGGGGAAGCCATCAGATTTTCCCCTAAGTCTACACTGGTCACACTGCTAGAATTTACTGTTAAGTCTCCAGTTCATATTTCCTGAGCAATTTCTTTCACAGAGCACGGTGAGGAGAGAGATGCTTCTGCCTGACAGGCCAAGTCTGCCTTCTGAAAGAGGCCACCAAGTGACACTACTCAGGTGACACCTCTTCGATCGGCAGCCGCGGTGACCTCCAGTTACTGGAGCCCCGGGGCAGAGGATGAAATGCTCTGCCGTGGAAATTTCAGGTCTGCCCCTACCCTCAGGGGCACATCCACCCAGCTCCCATGAACAGGCTCAGACAGATGACCTCCCCCCCACCCCCGCCCCGCCTCATTTGCTCTGGGTTACAGAGCAAATCCTCTCCCTTTCCTTGAAAGGGCTGTCGTCCTATTTGAGAGGGTGTCCATGTGGCTGAGGAAAGCTTTCATCAGAGGGCTTTCCCAGGCCCCACGGTCTACGGGGAGAGCCGGTTTGCCCACCAGGCAGCCAGGGGATGTCGGCGCTAAGCCCTCCCTGCTCAGGAACCAGAGGCTAGAGTTCACCCTGCTGTCCCTCCCCCGCCGGGGCCTCTTTGGCATCTCTGCTTTCCAGACTTCCAAGTCACCCACGAGGTTGAGAGAGCAAGGGAATTTGTACCCTCTACCTCGATCACCTGCATCAGCTACTGAGGGAGAAAACACCAGTGTCTCAGGTCGAGGGGGTGTGTGGACCACCATGGTGATGCTGGGGTGGGGGACCAGAAAGCGGGTGGGGCCAAAGAACCGAGAAGACAGAGCCACCCATGAAGGGCATGGCATGTACCATTTAGGCATGACTGAGAAACTGAGAGAACTACCTTCCATCCGTCTGTGTGTGTGAGAGAGAGAAACAAAGATGTGCACAAACTGCACATAAGTGGTTTAGAGAATAATTACAAAGTGTGCCCCACCCCCTGCCCAACACCACTGAGCCTGTCTTCCTTACCATATCCTTCTCCCTCCTTCCCAGAGGCAAACATCCAGACTTTTGTTAAGAACCATGTTTCTACTTTTAAGACTTGCCATCTATGTTTATATTCCTAAACCACAGTTCGCTTTTTGCCTATTTTCATCTTCTTCAAAATGGACTCACCCCGTGCATTCTTTCACTCAAGTGACTTGCTTTCACTCAACTTTATGCTTTTAAGATTCACCTGTGTTGTGTGTAGCTGTGGTCTGTCCACCCTCATTGATGTGTAAAATCATAGTTTACTTATCCATCCTACCGTAGTTCATGAGTATTTGGAAACGTTCTTGTTCCAGGCTGCGGGGCACACGTCCAAGAGGAGAACTGTTGTCCTAGGGCACACACAGCTCCCATGGTATTGGATAATGCTAAGTGCTTTCCAGAGTGGTTGCACCCATGCACACTGCCTCCAGCAGCGTATGTGAGCGCCCGTCACTCCCCAACCTCTCCAACACTTAATGGTATCACATTCGCAAAGTGTGGTTAGTCAGCTAGGCTATCACGATGTCTCCCTGGGTTTCCGATTTCTATTAAATCATCCTACCGTAAGTTCATCTGGACTGCTAAGGAGAGCAAATTAATTTATTCAATGGACTCAAATGCCAACAGGTTTCACCTCCCTTCACTTCTGATAGCTAAACTTTTAAGCGACAAGGGGGCAGCAACGAGGAGGCAATGGTATCCACGGTAATGTCCAGAACTATCAAGAAACCAATTGTTTTTTGTTTTGCTTTTTAAAGATTTTTATTTATTTATTTGACAGAGAGACAGGGAACACAAGCAGAGGGAATGGAAGAGGGAGAAGCAGGCTCCCCATGGAGCAGGGAGCCCGATGCGGGGCTCGATCCCAGGACCCCGGGATCATGACCTGAGCCCAAGGGAGACACTTAACGACTGAGCCACCCAGGTGCCCCAAGAAACCAACTGTTGAAGGCATTCCTGACTTCCTCTCCCTCCTCACCAAGCTCTTAGGGCCGGAAGGGTGGCTTCTGGTCCTCTTCCCAGGCTGCCTAAAGGCATTTGCTGTGGCATTCCTGAACCCTGTGAGCTCTGGAATGCCGGGAAAGGCAGCCGGCAGGGGCTCTGCAGACCAGCCCTCACCCTGGCCCTCCTTCAGTTTCCAGGTCAACACCCCAAACAGCCTGAAGTTTCCATACGGTGCTCAAACTGTAAAGGATGCAAATATGGAAGGCATCCTACACGTGTTATGCTATTTGCTCGGCTCTCTTCTTCTATAATTGTGTTTAGTATGTTTAGAGCTGACTTCGCAGGACTTCAAAATACCCCAAAAGTGAGGCACCCAAGAACAGTAATTTTTGATCTCTAAGTATGTGAGCTAAGAATGACCCCAACTAAATAAAGCCTTAGAAGGATTGTCCACCTACTTGGGGGAGGAGCCACACTTTCCTCCAATTCCCAAATTTCTCCAAAATGACCATCCATGTTTTAACAGTTACTATTCATTAGCTGAACAAGTGAGAAGAGAAAAGTTTTAATCTTTTCTTCCTAACTCCTTCTTTCTGCCCCATTTGGATTTTCTGAAGTAGATTCTCTAAGCTTGAGTTTTTACCCAGAAGTACATGCAGAGAAAAGAAATGGTCTTAAGTAGTAATGAAGCATCAGCTCGCCAATCCGGGTTTTGAGCTTACCCCTACCGAAGCAAAGGTTCGCGTTTAGTATATTCTGCGATTCAGCTGCTTCATTCTGCTGTTAAGCTCCACTCCACCCAGATCCTCAGTGACATCTGTGGCCCTGATGCTAATATTATCAATAATAATCACAACTGATAATCATAGTGGCCTAAAAGGCAGAAACAGGCACTTGAATTGAACACACTGATCTGATCATCGATTCCTTGGAAACAGATCCTACACTGCATGCTTGTTTGAAGACTGAAACCCCACCCACTCCAGTGTGTCTGTGGTTCAATTAACATTTGTCAGTAAAGCTATCAGTACTTCCTCCATTTTGTGGTAAAATTCTCAAGTCACACATACAAAGAAAAGCCCCAAGTGGTTAAAAAGATTCCAAAAACTCATACAGAGCAATGAACACTAGATCACCATTAGTTTAAAACCTGGTTTGCATCATGTCCTGAAAAATCACTCAGCAAGGACAGGCCGGCCAGAGTGGTAAGGAATCCCCTTTATTGAAAGCTTCTTTCCCCTACTTCCCTTCGCTAAACCCGAAGACTTCCCACAAGCAACCAGGACACACTCAGGCTGGCACACACACCCTGCACCTTGCCCACTGGGAAGGAACTCCCATTCTGGGGGGGGGGGGGCGGGCAGGACTGCCCTCTGTGAGTAAGGACAAAATGCAAGACCGTTAATTAAGTACTCAAACTCCTGTGATAGAAACTTTAAGTATAATTAAAGGTTTGGGGATGCATCAGGCAGGGTCCTACCTGAGAGAGATAGCTAGTAGGTTATATACACATAAAGAGATTTACTTCAAGAGATGGGCCTATGGGATGGAGGGCATTGACAAGTCTGAAATCTGGAGCAGGAACTGATGGTGGGAACCTCCATTCTGCTCTTAAGGCCTTTCAACTGATTGGATGAAGCCTGCCTAGGGGATTGAGAATAATCTCCTGTACTTAAAGTCAACTGATTATAGATGTTAAACTAATTACATTTATCAAATATCTTTACAGCAACATCTAGGCTTTGTTTCACTGAATATCTGGGCACTCTGGCCCAGCCAACATGACCCTCACAGTGGATAGAAGTTCAGAGCATGGTCCTCCCCTTCAGGTATCTTGGATCTAGCCCTTTATTTGTGGGAGAGAAGGAGAGAAGACACATCGAATGGCCAACAATAGGCAAAAGATTGATCTGGTGTTTGGGACACGGAAGAAGGCGGGGGGGGGTCTGTCAAATTTGGGGATGTATATTGATGAACGAATCTCCTGGGACTATTTCCCCTACTGATTACTAGCTACACAGAATTATTCTTCCTTCTCTCTGATCATCCCATTCTCATTTTCAATTTTCTGATTCATGTATTTTTTTTGCATGCCCTCATTTTCATTTCTTTCTTCATGCCATTTTTCTTCACACCATCCTCCTTGTCCACTTCTTTTTTGCTAATCCCCAGCTTTTGATCTTCTTCTATTTTGTTTTGCTCTATTTTTCACCACATTCGATCCTGAATTTTCAGGTTTTTCTTGTGTAAATACTGCTCCAACTT